ATCCTTACATGTTGAAAAAGCCATTTAGTATTGTTCTGCATTTGTGCGAGGCCTATGAAATGCAGAAGAAAATATTAATTATGACACTGTTTTACCACTAGAAAGATTGTGCGAAAAGGAAGGAAAATGCTCAGAATTGCCTTATGTTCAGATTTTTTTATTTTTTTGCATTATGAAATGGTCTTTCTCGTCTTTCAAAATGTAAATATGTGCCACAAAAGGAACAAACACCTTGTGCTCCTAAGACATTCACCATCCCAAGCCTGAGCCTTTTCCCACCTTTTAAAGCCTAAAGATATGAAAGCCTTTATTAAATCTTCCCCCACTATTACTCAAAATAAGGCTTGCCCTGCTTGCTCTTCTAGTCTAAAGGATGAGGCCTTCAAACTGGCTATAATCCAGCCCTCTACAGGCTATACCCATCCTTAGCTGAGTTTAGGCAACCTCCTCAAGGACAATATTCTTTACAAGAAGTAAATGGACAGTTTGGATCCCACAGAGTTCATGTGCGTTTTTCTCTTGGTGTCCTAAAACAGATAAAGTCAGATCTAGGAAAAATTTAAGACGACCCTGACAAGTATATTGAGGGCATTAGAGCCCTTACTCAGAACTATGAGCTAGACTGAAAAGATGTAAAGTTACTCTTAATCAAACATTGACCTCTAATATAAGGTAGATAACATTAGAAGCTGCTACTGCATTTGGAGATGAATATCATATTATTAATTTCAGAAGGTCAGGAGACTGATGACCAGGGGAACCACCTGTTCCCACTGGAGCTCAAGCAGTCCCTGTCCAAGATCCTACTGGCCTAGTAATCATACAGGAGATTGGAATACGAGACATTTTCAGACATGTGTTCTTGAAGGTGTAAAACGGATAAGAACTAAGCCATTCAGTTATTCTAAACTGTCAACAATCCAGCCAAAAATAAAGGAACAAAAGCAATCATATATATTTGGATATATATACACACATATATATGATAGTTAAGGTAAATATGCTACTAATTCCTCTTAGTTCATTGAAAAGAAAGTTTGTACTAATAGTTTGAATAATTAAATGTCTATATTAGGTACATCAAGTAACTAATATGAAAAAGACAATATGTCATGTAATGATCATTGTTATCCTCCTATTATCTTATTTGGAAATTCTTTATTTTTCTTATTAAATAAATTTTAAAACATTTTCTCTTGTCCTGAGTGTTGATTCTGTCAGAGCTGCTGAGCAGAGGTAGATCACCAGAGTGGAGATGGAAGGCTGTCCCTTCACTTAGAATGACAGGGTGGGTTCCCTGTGGCGCTTATGCTCCAGGAGTCAGCCTGGATTCACCCTTCTCATGCCAGATGCACCAAGGATAGCAAGGAAGACAGGAAAGGCCGCTCAGTGGACACATTGAGAACTGGCCTGAAGTCCTTTTCTTTTGTTGAAAACTCTAAGGCACATATTTGAACCCCACATCCACAGAGGGGACTGCAGGGCACTGTAAAGATGCAACAAACAGGGGGCGCCGCCGAGCTCGGCGGAAGGCCGCGCTGGG